ATTTTTAATCTAAATGTGTCTTTTTATATAAAGTGGGTTTCTTGTTGATAAATATACTTGGGTCTTATTTTTGTTTCCCTCTACACTCTCCCCTTTGGCAACCACCAGGTTGTCCTCTGTATATATGAGTCTGTTTCTGTTTTGTTTCTGTTTTGTTTATTCATTTGTTTTGTTAGAGTCTACATGTAAGTGAAATCATAAAGTATTTGTTTTTCTCTGTGTGACTTATTTCACTTAGTATAATACCCTCTAGGTCCATAGGAAAATATTTCTAACTTACTGAAGTATAAAAGAATATTATTCTTGGGAGATGCATGCTGAAATACTTAGAGTGGAAGAAGCATGATGCTTGCAACTTTCAAGTAGTGCGGAAAAAAAATAATGAAGGAAACCAAAGTCTAGAGGCTGGACTGGATCTAAGTTACACATTTTTGGCAAATCTCATTTCTGAGGCATCTCCAGGGTCTGAGGGAGGGAGCTTCCACTATCAGCCTAGATTAGTTTCCCATCTTATCTGCTCTATTTAGTAATTTCCCCTCCACCACCACCCAATACAATAAAGTTGAAGGACTAGTACAACCCCACCACATGCGTACCTACCAATAGATTCAACATCTCTTAATATTGTGACATCTTTTCTTTAAGTTGTATTTGTGTATATGTTATTGCAGGAGAAGAAAGATTGTTTTTTTTCTTCTACCCTTCCAGATTCTCTGCTCGGACTCTGTAACAAAAGATAGATTAACAAGAGGAAAACAGAAGTTCACTAACATATATATCTCCTATATACATGGGACAAACTCAGGGATGAGTAACTCAAAAGGTGGCTAAAACTTGAGCTTATATAGCATCTTCAACAAAGAACAATAAATTGAAGAGAGATGACAGGACAAAGAAAAACGGTTTTAGGCTTCCAAGGACTGAAAATTAGGAAGGTAAATATGGAGAGAGGTTTGTTTGCAGATTCCTCTGGTGCCATCTCTGGGTGGATAAGGGTCTATAGTCCTCTCCAGTAAAGGAAAATTTATATCCTGCCTTTAGGCAAAAAGGGGAAGAGTAGAGAGAGCTCTTCCTATGTTTGCTGCTTAATTGTCTTCATTGTCTTCAATTTAAAATGATTCTTATGTCAAAGGGGCATATGCTGGGGTGACATTCTGGTTTCCTTCATTATTTTTTTCTGAACTACTTGAAAGTTGCAAGTATCACGACTCTTTAGCTCTAAGTATTTCAGCATGCATCTCCCTAGAGAAATTCTCCCACATAATCATGGTATCATTATTGTACTTAATTAGAAATAATTCCCTAAAATCTTTCATATCTAGTCTATATTCATATTTCCCCAATTAATCCCAATTTTTTAAAAGCCATGATCCAATCATGATTCATGCTTTGCATTTGGTTGTTGTTTGTATTCTTTTAACATCTATAACAGTCTTTGTACTTCTCTTTTTTTCTTGATAGGGATTTTGTGGAGACCAGGACAGACGTTTCATAAACATCCGGCATCCTAAATTTGCCTGGTTATTCCTCATGGTGTCATTCAATTTATTCCTCCATACACTGTGTTTTTTAGAAACAGTTAAGTCTAGAGGCTGAACTGGATTTAGGATATACATTTTTGGCATTATTATCTCCTGAATGATACTGTATACTTCATATTGTATCCTATCAGGAGACACATAATGTAAGGTTGCCCCACTAGTGATGTTAAGCTTGATCGCTTGGTTACAGTGGTGACTGCCAAATTTTTCCAGGTAAAGGTATGCTTTCCCTTTGCAATGGTTAATGCAAATAATCTGTGGAGCAATACTTTGGCACCATAAAACATCCTATACTCAGCAACCTTTTACCTAGCATCCATGCAATCATTATTTCATGGGAATTTCAGTATAGTTCCACTGAGCATTTTAATTTCAGTGGCTGTATTTTTTAAAGTTTTTCTAGTTTTCTTTTTTTTAATGTCTGTTCTTTTTTACATATTGCTCTATCCTTTCACAATTATTATTTTTTTTTACTTGCTATCTTTTTGATGTTAAGTATACTAATTGTATAGACTCCAATTGTTCTATTACCAATTTGAGGTGAGGATGGTCTTTTTTTTTCTTTCATGGTGATGTGTCCATGGGAATATGCTGGAGTCCCTGGCATATGTAAGTGTCCCTAATATAATGACTTTGTATTTGCTAAGGTTTTAGGGGTTTCATTATTCTTAGACCATGGGCCGCTCCAGAGGCAACTCCCCTTGCTGCTCTGACTTTTCATTTCATTTTTGGCACAAAAGGAATTCTTGACTATGGGTCCTTTGAGTTTCCTGTGGGTTTTACTGTTTTGTTTTGGTTTTGGACCACTCGATATTAATTTCTTGACTTTGGGTTCCTATAACAGGAGGGTATTTGAATCAGAAACAAGTGATGAGGGCTTGAGCTTTATCACCATGCACGGGTAGGAGAAATTCACTGGGTCTTCCCAAGGTTGAGGAACTGGAAATAAGGGCCCCTACAAACCCACATTGAACTTGGGAAGCAGCAAGGAAGTTTGCAACTACCTGGACCCACACGTGGAAAAAGCAAAAAAAGGTGAGGATAGGTCTGAATTTACATCACCCTCCTAACTCAGGTAGTACAGAAAATAACATCATGAACACCCATGATTCATGTAAAAAAATTTCTCTATTGTTGAAGTACCCCTTTCCAGTCATATTACTCTCTCTGAGAGGCAACTGCTCTCCTGAGTCTTAATGTTTATTATTTCAAACATAGCTTTATTCTTTTATTACATTTGTTTGTATCCCTGAACAATATCCCACTTCTCTCTCTAGTCTGGCTCTCATCCTCTATCCTTGGTGAGTAGTCTTCACCAAGACTACTCAAGGTCACCATTGACTTAGGTACTAGCAAATTTTTTTGTTGTTCTAGCAAATTTATAGAATACCTCTATATCCTTATCTTACCTGCCCTCTCTGCAGCTCTCCAGTTTTCTTGTTCACTCCTTCAGAGGCTCCTACTCCCTGGTTTTCCTCATCCCTTCAAACTACCCTAATCTCATCTCATTTGTTCCTCCTCCGCCGCCCTACCTCAATATGCTGGCATGCTCTATGGCTCAGTTATGGTTTCTCTCATCTCCATCTACACTTTCTCCCTAGGGTATCTCCTTCAGTTCCTTGACTTTAAATACATCTACGTAAATGACTGCCAAATCTCTATCTCTGACTTCCATCTCTCCCTGATCTCCTAGCTTGTAAATCCAACTGTTCACTTGATACCTCCACTCTGAAATCTTGTGGACATCTGACTCACTATGACCAAAATAAAACCCTTGATCTACACCACTAGGCCAAACTGTTTCCTTTATAACCCCACTCCCCTATTTCAGGAAATGGTCCATTATCCGACTGTCTCTAGCCAGAAGCCAGGAGTCATCCATGGTTACCCTTTCTCCTTCAGCCCCACATCCAACCTATCAACCTAAATAAAGAGGTAAACCAAAGCAAGCTCAGATTACCAGAAATTGAGTTTATTCAGGAATAGCACAGGAATTGCTATTTGGGAAATGCATGCTGTAGCAAGCAAGCATTGAGGGTTTCAACAGGCTGTACATATGGGCAAGGAGCACAAAGGGGGAAATTCAGCCAGAGTTCAAGCAGTAATTTCACTGCCTTGAGGATGAGGATTCTTATTGGATGTTCATTGGGCAGGAGATAAGTCCCTCATCTTCTGTAATCAGGCATTTATGGGAAATCAGTCTCTCAGTCCTTAAGTTCTGTTCTGAGGGAACATGTGTGAGATTCTCCATTTCATATCCTCCCGTTTCATTTTAATTAAAATCCTTTCACAAACCTATCAGCAAGACCCACTCACTCCTCTTCCCAAACAAGGTATACATTTAATCCATTCTCTGAGCTACATTTCTGTAGTCACTACCCCAGGCTAGGGCGACATAATAATGTCTTGCCTGCTAAATGGTCTCTTCACTTCCAGTCTTGCCCCCTTCAAACCACACAGCAGGAAGCCTGACATAAAAGCAAATGCAACTCAGATCTTGTCACTCCTCTGCTTAAACTTCTTCAATTACTTTTCTTTAGAATAAAAGCCAAAATTACTACTATAAACTTCAAGATAGCTAAATGATCTTACTCCTCTCCCCCTCACCTACTGCCTTCCAGCCACACTGGCTTTTTCCGTTCCTCCAGACCAAGTTCTTTCCTGCCTCAGAGCCTTTGCACACACCATTCTAAGATCTTGGTCTGAAAAGTTCTCCACCTCCCTGCCCTCCATTTTGATATGGCCTGTTCCTCGTTTTCTAGACTACGGTTAAATAACACTTCAAAGATTGCTTTCCCGGCCACTTTATCTAAAGTAGGTTCCCACATTATTCACTACCGCAGTTCTGTTTCTCTCAGAGCACTTACCACGATTTGTTATTTACTTTTCTACTCCGTTCATACTAGAAATGTGAGGTCAAGGAAAGTAAAAACTACTATCTCCAACACCTAGCACCAGGCCTAGCACATGATAGACACAACAGATATCTAGTGAATAGTGAGTCTGTGTCATCCAGGCACTTTAAACATAGTCTCTCCTTTAAATTTCGCAATAACTCCGCGAGGGAGGAAACATGCTCCCCATTGTGCGAAAAAGGAAACCGAGGGTCAAGTTTCCAACTTGTCTGCGGTCACCAAGCTAATAACTGAAGGAGTCGGGATTCGAACCCATGTCTGTAGGACCCCAGAGCCCTCAGCCAAACACCACGCTGAAGCTCCTCAGTTTTGGGAAACCCAGCAGCACAGAAAGGTCCTTGGCTATTACTCCAGGAACAAAAACACTCTGGTCTCGCGGGCTGCCGAAGTTCCCAGCAGTCCCTGCGCTCAAGAGTGGGGGCCGGACAAGTGGGCGGTCCCAGGCCCCGGAAGACCGACCGGAGACCTCGTATCCCGAAAGGCTTCGCGGAGCGCCACTGACTGGCGGAAGCGAAGCCGGCGACAGCGTGATGACGCGCCAGGGACGCTAGCGCGCGGGATTTAAACTGCGGCGGTTTACGCGGCGTTAAAACTTCGTAGAGTTAGCAGAGTTGTAGTTTCTTTCTGGCGCACCTGCCGGTTGCTCAATGGACTCGTCGCTTCAGGCCCGCTTGTTTCCCGGTCTCGCCATCAAGATCCAACGCAGTAATGGTGAGGGGCGGGGTCCTGAGGCCAGGGGGACCCATGGGCTGTGAGATGGCTGAAATTACTGCCCCTCCCCAAACGGCAGAGGGCCTGAGACACTGTTGAGGAACATCCCCCACCCCAGGTCCGGGTCTCTGCACTGGCAATTGGCCTTCCCTGCCCCGGACCAGGGGCCTCTACACTGGCAGTGGGCCCCCTCGCCATCCTCCGGGAGTAGGCGGGGCTCCGCATCAGTGGACCTCCCAGCGAAGTTAGGGTCGCCAGTTTCACTTCCCCTCCAAAATTCTCCCCTGAAACTGCCTGCTCTTGTAAAGACCTTGGCTCTCTGTAGCATGTCGGGCACTGGGATTCAGGGTAACTAGACAGAACAGATCCCTGCTCTTTAGGAGCTTGCAATTCTTTTTTGGTTAGCAGCTACTGCAGCTCTGGCAGATCTAATACTTGTGTCATTAGGAGAATGGTCACAGATAACCGTCTGGAGTGAGGTAGAGAAACCCGAGGGCGCTAGAGCTTCGGTCCTGTGTTGCAGAACAGTTCACCTAAGGCCTAGAGTGACTCCCTTGCTAAACATACCTTCACCCCACTGTAGGCTCTCTGTTGAGTGGGGCTGAATCCTTAGCCCCTGCAACTCGATTTTAAGACTTGTTCCCTGCCTACCTCACTATGGGATGTTCTAAGGGTGAAATGCCAGGAGGTTTATTTGCCTCCTAGTGTTAAAAATAAAGAAAGGCAGCTGTCCATTTTTTCAGATCAACTCTACATTGAGAATCTCTGAGGAATCCTAAAAGTGAAAAAGATGGGTAACTGGTCTTTTCATACTATAGGCTTAATTCACAGTGCCAATGTAAGGACTGTGAACTTGGAGAAAGCCTGTGTTTCAGTGGAATGGACAGAAGGAGGTGCCACAAAGGGCAAAGAGGTAAGTTCTATGAGTGTGCCTCCACCACATGTAACACCTTCCTACCTGAAAGATCTGTATGAAAATGGAACCTGTGAAAGCCTTGTTTTTGATGCTGTGTTGTCCTTCCTAATTTTAAACATAGTCCTCTTTGGATGCATTGGGATTTTGCTTAGTCAAGCCTGTTCTAAATTGAAGCAATCAATAGTTTCTGGTGTGTTTGTAAAAGCAAACTGCAGAGAATCCTAAAACCTTGCTCACCCAAGCTAGCTTTTGAGTGCATATAATAATTTGTTTGGGGAGCAAAATTGATAACCTAGTTGAGAAGACAAAATTATGTTTCCAAAATATGAAATAACAGAAGGCAACTTGTGATGAATGGCACAGATAAATAGTGCTAGAGGTGGGACTCAGGATGAGTTGGGCTTGTGGGGGTGAGGCAGGAAGGTTTAGCGGATGGCCCACATGGGGACTAGTGAAGAAGCTGGTGCTAGGTCTTTATCTGGCACTAAGATGTTTGCGGTCTTACTCTGTAGGTAGTGCCTTGGGAGGATTTTGAAAAAAGAAGAGATGTGACTAAGACATTTATATTTTAGAGGCATCTGGTGAAGAGGTCACCAGGCTAGGAGTATGAAAACCTGGATTCTAGTCTGGCTCTGCCACTACTTTATGTGTTCTCAGGCATGTTTCCGCCCCTCTTAGCAATTTAGTTTCCTCATTTATAAAATGAGGATGATAATAAAATATTCCTCATAGGGTTGTTGTGAGGATTTATTCAACAAATCCTTTTGTACTGGTTACAAAATGCCAGACAGTATATTTGGTGCTGGAGAATACAGAGGCAAATAAGACAGACCTGGACCCTCTTTCATGGAGCTTAATGCAATAACACATTTAACGGGCTTGCTCAGCATGGTGACTTATGGTAGATATGGAGATATTTAGATAGTATATTTGAGAAAAGGATTGAATACATTATCTGCCCTTGAATCAAGAGGTTCCTAAGATTTCTTTCAACCAGCTATTATAATTCCTTGTGATTTGTTTGTTTGTTTGTTTTTGTTGTTGTTTGTTTAGAAATACAGCTCTTTTTGGGTCTTACTCCAGCTTAAATATTGCCTGTGGAATAAGGTTCAGAATTCTTAGGCATTCAAAGCCATTTCAAGATTTGATCCTTATCAACTTTTTTCTTTGTACCACACATAGTATCCTGCGCTAGGGGCAAATGGGGCAGCACCTCACTCTGACCATGCCTAGTGCCCTGCTGCCTTCACACTCTCTTGTTCCTTCCTCCTGGGATATTCACTCTAAATCATCAACGTGAGAATCAGTTAATGTCAGAATTAGGGTTAGAACTCTGATCTCCTATGTCATTTATGCTCTCTGTAGTTTAGGAGTTAGAAATGGGGGAGGGTTGTATAGTAGGGGTCTGTAGCTGTCCAAGAAAAGTGAATAGAAGTGTGGTTACTGAAGTACTTGCCAGCTTTTGTATTCCTTGATTCTCTCCTCCTCGTCTATCCTATGTTGCTTTGGTTTCTAGCCTGTTGTGCATGTGACTTCCCTCCATTAGAATGAGAGCTCACTGAAGGCAAGGGAGATATATGTCTTAATTCATCATTTAGTACTTTCTTTCTTCTGCCTTTCTTATGCCTAATAAATGTTTTATTACGCTAGTTAATAAATATAGGTTGCATAAGTAGAAGGTAAAGCTCTCACCCTGGTGAGAGTTCTCATCCATGCTTCTGTTCTGTTGCATTCCGAAGTACAAATAACCAAGTTGGTGCTATTTTGGTGTGTTTGAACCTGCTGTGAAGTATGCAGATGAAATTTTGAGTTGTTTCTAGAGGATTTCAGGACTCTGGTGATGTAAACCTAGAATTATGACCTCACTGCAGTCATGAGCCAGACACTGTGATTGGGAAGAAGTTTCTGGGCCCATTAGAAAATGTAGGTAGACTTAGGGTTAGGTAGCAGCTCTCGGGAACTTGTCCCTGCCCATAAGATCCTGAAGGGCCCTCCATTTTTACTATCACCGGGACAGTTAGAACTTGTTTCCTCTTCCGTGTCAGCCAACAAGAGATATTCGGAGCACTGTGCCCAGCAGGACGCCACTGTCCAGCAGAACAGTAGGGGAGCCAAGTGGCCTAGATCTACTGTGGACTACTTGACGGTTTGCCTGCCTGCCTGTCTTCCTCTTCACCTCGTTCTCATCCCTGGCATCTCCCATTAGCTTAGAAATCAGAAACCAATATCCATCTAGATGGTAAACCATGACTAAGGAATAAATATTTATTTTTAGCTGTTAGTACTTGGCGGAACTTAAAGTTGGTAGTCTGAATCAAGGGGAAGCGTTGGTTGTAGAGATGCAGTTGGATTGAACAAGCTGTGTTGTTTCACTGAAACTTTTACTTGCTCCTTGTAGATTGATTTCGATGATGTGGCCGCAATAAACCCAGAACTCTTACAGCTTCTTCCCCTACACCCGAAGGACAATCTGCCCCTGCAGGAGAATGTAACGGTTCAGGTAGGTGCCTGTCATCTGTGGACCTGCAGCCAGTGCCCCAGGTGGTCCACTTGACTTGCTGGCTCTTTGCTGGGTTTTCTGGGACTGCCTAGGACTTCAGCACAGCACATGGGCCTTTGAGAACTGATAAGAGCCATATAATGTAGTGATTTGTTTTGTTTTTCAGAAACAAAAACGCAGATCAGTCAACTCCAAAATTCCCGCTCCAAAGGAAGGTAAATGGATCTCTTCTGGCTTCTTGTCATGGGGCGTGTGCCAGAAATGGTGTTCCTGGGGCTCAGGAAGCTCCGAAGTAAGCTCATTGCTCTAATGTAGCAGGTGGCTTCTATGTGGTCTGAGTCGGTGAGCAGGCTGTGAGAAAAGCTAGGTTTGAGCTGTATAGTCAATGGTGCTATAGAGATCTGGGGGTGAGGTGGGGTGGGTGAGATTGAGCAATGCCTCAAAGTCTAGGAGAAGGTTGGGCTTTCTCTACATAAGTAATCACCATAAACCTACCTTGACTACAATAGTCTGTGACTACAGAGTGTGGCTATAGGCACAAACTGCCCAAGAAATCCAGCTTATTGTTCAGAGCCAGCTATACCTGCAAGGCCTATCCCAGTCCAGAGGTTATCACTGCCCTGACCAGATAACTGCTTGGGTGAAGCTTCAGGTTACGGGAGGCCCAAGGTGAAAGGTGATGCAGTTGCAAACTTGGGTTGAGCACGAGTGACGTGGTGTGTGCTAGCCCTCTCTTGTTGGCTATACCATAAGAGCCTACAGGAGGGACAGGAGTGGCAGTGGTCTCATTCCACATGCATGACCCCAAAGAATATTGCCACAGCTCCTTTTGGTGGAAAAAAAAGTCTTAATAAAGGTGCATGCTATTAAATAGTAGAAATGAAATACAAGATTACAAATCTTTGGGAAATAGGAAAATCATAATAATTTATATTCTTTATGAAAGACATGATTATATACAGCTATCAGATTAGCCTAAATGTAGGAGACTGAAGAATTCAGTACAAGTTGATCTTTGCCTATCTGACACTATGTGTTCTATTTCCAAATTTGTGACTTTATAAGTGAATTGTTTCTCTCTTATGGAGGGAAACTATATAGATAGGTAGAAATTGACAAGAATTAAAATATAACTCAATTATTTCTCTCAGTTAAGCATTCTTTTAAAATTTCAAACAATCAATATAGCTGATCCCATAGGTTTCTGATGATGTGGCCCAGGCCTGGCTCTGTAAGGCATCCTGAAGCAGTGGGAAAAGCCCAGGCTTTGGATTCTGACAGGCTTGAGTTCACATTCTGGCTATGATACTTATAGTTGAGTGACACTGGGCAAGTTACTTAATTTATGTGAGCCTTAATGTCTTCTTCCATGAGATGGGAATACTGATATTTATAATGTTGTTTTGAGGTATGGGAAGATTGTTTGTGGAATGGTAGGTGTTGCTCTAAGATTAATAATGCTCTTTTTCAGGGATTAGGTTTGCCTCTTCAGAAATGATTTCAGATTGGCTGTAGATCCCTCCATTTACTCAAGACAGATGCTCTTGAGGGAGATATACTTACCCTCACAAACTCTCGGATTTGCAGAATGGGAACAAATTAGTTTTGGGGTCACTAGTACTTAGCCTTTCTAGTTTTTCCTTTCCTCGGGTGGAAGGAATGGGAAATTGGTAGGCTCCTTTCTTGGTGGACGGGACCCATCTGACCTTGTATAGAATCTTGGAGGGTTGCCCCCATCGGCCTTCCTGATCATGCTGCACTGATTGGCTGCTCCTCCCGGTTCTTCAGGTCTCCGAAGCCGCTCCACTCGCATGTCCACTGTCTCAGAGGTTCGCATCACCACTGAGGAAAATGATATGGAGGTGGAGCTGCCTGCATCTGCAAATTCTCGCAAGCAGTTTTCAGTTCCCGGTGAGTAATGAATCTGTTCTTCCTGTTTGAGGCCCTGGAGCAGCATCTCACACATTGCCCTAAACCTGTTCTGGAATATCCTAAGATTCCACACTCCCCTAGCTTCACTGCTGTTCTGCCCCTGCCCCACTGCTCCCTTATCTGGAAATGATCTCATTTTACTTTTTCAACTTTATCGAAACATAATATACAGTATGTACAGAAAAGTGAACAATCATGGAGTATATGTTCTGAACACACTCATGTAACTAACACTTAGATCAAACAGCATTACCAGCACCTAAAAGTCTTCCTCCGGTGCCCTTCTAGTTACTAAGCCCCAAGAGTACTTATAATCCTGACTTCTGAAAGCATGAATTTGCTTTTTCTCTTTTTGGACTTTGTATGGAATTTTTAAAATATCTTTGTCAACTTTTATTAGATATAAAAAGGATGCAGATTTTATAAGATACACAGTCATTACATCTTATATATATCAAATTCAGCTCTAATAAAATGAAGGTAAACAAAAGGGTCACGACTAAATACGAGAAGTAAAAAGTCACAGTTTGTATCTTTATGGATTGAATCAATATGGTTAGTTGTTGCTCGAGTTCCCATTATTCCTGGCTGTTCAGTCTTTCCTCCTGTTAGCCACCTGGGTTCCAAGGTTTTTGAGAAGTCAGAAGGCTTGGCTTTTCTCCCAGACGAGTAGAAAGGGCTGGCCTAAGAACCCATGTTTGGGTCCAGCCTAAAGAGTTCAGGCCTTTAAAAGCTTTCCCCTTCATGGCGAAACCCATACTGAGCAATTCACACATCCTTTTGAGAATTATTTGACCCCTGGAGCCAGCCCCTGTAGACATACTGGTTGGGTTCAGGGTGCGGGCTGAGGTAAAGAGGAAAGTGCAAGCTCTGCTCACACTACAGGAGCCAGAGCCCTTGCTGAGCTGGTAGTTAGTCACGCTTCTCCAGGCCCATGACCCACTAGGGGTCAGATGAGCACAGCTGCGATATGCTTGCCTGCTTCTCCAATGACTCTTGTTCCCCTACAGCTGGCCCCGCTAGGCCTTCCTGCCCTGCAGTGGCTGAAATACCATTGACGATGGTCAGCGAAGAGGTAGAAGAGCAAGTCCATTCCATCCGAGGCAGCTCTTCTGCAAACCCTGTGAACTCAGGTAGACACGCTGAGCTGCCTGCTGCCCTGCCCCTAGAACAGGACAAGTGGTTACATCCTGTCTCAAACGTGGCTTGCCTGGGCATCTGAGTTCAAACCGTGTTTGTCACATGGGAGTATGTTTCCTTGTGGCCATGAAGTCAATCTTTCACAAGAGGTGACCCCATCCCTATAAGCTGGCAGGAGCCTTCTGATGTATTGGAGGTGTTGTCACAGCTATAGTCTCCGCTGACCTGAAGAACAGCCCAGAATGACCATTAAGACCAAGCAGGGATAGTCTCACCTCTTCTGGTTGTTGAGAAAGTGCCACAGAGGTATGGGGAGAACTTGGGTTAGACCTGGGGGTGCTTGTGTTAGCAAATCTTTACTTTGTGAAGTTGTCCATCCTGAGTCACATCTATTTCTTCCTCTCCTTGCATATGGTGATGTAAGAGCAAGGGTCTAGAGAAAGCCTAGTTTTGGGTAAGGCCCAGGACTCAGTACAACAGCCAGAGAAGAGCAGCCTGACTAGCCTAGACAAGTAAAAGAATGGGCTTTTTCCCCCCTAGTTCGGAGGAAATCATGTATTGTGAAGGAAATGGAAAAAATGAAGAACAAGCGGGAAGAGAAGAGGGCCCAGAACTCTGAAATGAGAATAAAGCGAGCTCAGGTACCTTTCTTGGGCAAGGGTTTTGGACAGGTATCCTTAACTTAAATGCAACACAGATAGAGTTGGGCCCTAGTAATACTGAGGCTCCAATTCTGATATCCAGGAAGTTTAACTGGTGTCTTATCAGGATTCAGAGAACAAATAAGTCCCATATTTTTCTGAAGGCCCCCAGATGAGGACTACTTCATGCTGATTGTCTAGCAGGCATGCCCATCGTGTAGTTCAGTGGCCAGCAGGGCTGCTGGGCACAGTTTCCGCCGACCCAACCGTGTACATGTGGTGGAGGTGCTGCGGTGGAGTTGGGTTTGGAGCATTTCCCCTTAGTTGGGTTACTTGCTCTGGGGAATCCCAGCCCTTCTGATCTTCTAAGATGTGGGACAGTGGCCCTTGTGCCAGTTCCTAGGGCTCCCTGCCAATCTCTATTCCCAGGGCTTTGTTCCTGGGTTCTCAGCCTGGAGCCAGTGTGGGAGGAAGTGAGATCATGTGGGGGCTTTGTCAACTGATAGACTGTATGCACATAAAGAAATGTTGCTTCTGCTTAGCAGTGAGGTCTGAGAGCACTTAGATCTTAGCAGTCAGTTTCGTTTTTCTTTTGTCCCAAACAGGAGTATGACAACAGCTTTCCAAACTGGGAATTTGCCCGGATGATTAAAGAATTTCGGGCTACTTTGGATTGTCATCCACTTACTATGACTGATCCTGTAAGTAAACCTTCTTTCTACCTTTCCTTCCTGAGTAGTTGTACAGTTAAGAGACAGAACACTTCCCTTTAAGGGTGTCAGAGCGTTCAGGAATCTTCACTCACCCTTGCAAGTTTTTTTTTTTTTAACTATCCTTTGGTGGGCTAGAGCTAGTGAGGCCTGCATGGGAGAGTCTAATCTTTACAAACTCCCCACCCACCCCCATTCCATAGGTTGGCCAGACTCTTACTAATCATGAAAGTGTGCTGAAATTTCATGTAGGCAGCAGAGTGAGAAAACGGGAGAAAATTCCGAGCTACCTTCTTATGCTGTAGAGTAACTAATGGGGAAGGCGGGGTCCTAGTGTTAGATCTTGGCCCCTGACTGTGCCAGAGAGGGGTTAGAAGGGAAGGGATTCTGGATAAGCTTTCTTTCAATACTGCCCTAACTTTTTTTGTTGATTGGTTGTCTTCTCATCCTCTTGAAGATCGAAGAGCACAGGATATGTGTTTGTGTTAGGAAACGCCCACTAAATAAACAAGGTAAACTTCATTCTGTCAGAAAGAGGCTTTGGACTGACGGAGGGTTCTTGTGTCCAGAGACCATCCCCTGAAAATACTCTCCTTCTGCAGAATTGACCAAGAAAGAAATTGATGTGATTTCCGTTCCTAGCAAATGTCTCCTTTTTGTACACGAGCCCAAGTTAAAAGTGGACTTAACAAAGTATCTGGAGAACCAAGCATTCTGCTTTGACTTTGCATTCGATGAAACGGCTTCAAATGAAGTTGTCTATAGGTTAGTCCCTTGCCTCTTTTTGTTCCTCTTCCCTCCACCCACCCCTGCTGCCCGCTTTTGACTTTTCCATGAACTTCCTATAGGTTCAGACATGCTGAACTCTGAAGCCCTTCCTGGCCTCCTCTCATGTTTTCTTTGAATCAGCTATCACACACAGCTGGCTCTCAATGGCTTCAGGGAGGCCCATTTAGGCTGCCACATGCCATTTTGCAGCTTTAGCGGCCCATCCTTGAGTGGATCAGAAGTGAGGTGTTACCCACTGCGCTCTATGAGGCTGGGCTGGACAGGCTCCAGGGATTCTTTCAGTGTCTCATGCAGCCACCCCGTTACCCTCTGGGCTTAGCAGACTCAGCAAATTCTAGGACTGCTCTGTCCAATATAGCACCCAGTAGCCTTATGCAGCTTTTTAAATAAAAGTTAAGTTAAAAATACAATTCTTCAGCACATCTCAAGTGCCGGATAGCCACGTGTGGAAGTGGCTACTGTTGGGCAGCACAGAAAAGGCATCACAGAAAGTTCTGTTGGACAACAGTGCTCTAAACCAGAAGTTGACAAACTTTGGGGCCAGATTTGGCTCACTATCCCTTTCTGTATTGGCTCTCCAACTAAGAATGTTTTTAAAGGATCATTAAAAAAATGTGACAGAACTACGTGGCCCACAAAGCCTCCTACTCTAGGGTTTCCTCGATCTTTACAGTATATCTTATACTGGAAGTTGGCTGCTAAGCTCAGGCTTTTTTCTTGTGTCTCCAGGGTCAGAGGAGGGCCTGATGGCTCAGTTAGCATGTAGAACATGAACTTGCTCTCAGCAGGCCAGTCTAGCCCTCCCCAATTGGGTAGGAGAATTTCAGATTTGTGAAAAAGGGGGGTCCAGTGGAACCACTTTGCAGGAGAGGAGTGCTAGTGCTTGGAAAGAGAAATTAAGGACCCGGGAGTTCTGCAGTCGAAGGGCAGCAGGACCATGTTTCCGGATGCACATTTTGTGGAGAGATAACCACTTCTCTATCTTTTCTCCTGTAGGTTCACAGCAAGGCCACTGGTACACACAATTTTCCAAGGTGGAAAAGCAACCTGTTTTGCATATGGCCAGACGGGAAGTGGCAAGACACATGTGAGTATTTAAGTGTGGCAGGGAATGAGCCTGCGCATGTGCAATACTGGGTCTCTAAAAAGAAAGATAGTTTTTTGCAGAAAGTCCCTTTAGTGCAGATGCCCCATCACCAGATACACTTACTGTGTCAGGGGCAGGGAGGGGCCTTAGCAAGTCCATCCAGCCTCCCAGCTTAGGTGTGGCCCACTGTGGTGATGGAGCCAGTAGTGCTCTAGCTTAGGCCATGGGCCCTTTACCAAGGTCTTTTGCCCCGTCCATTTGCAGACTATGGGCGGAGACCTCTCTGGGAAAGCCCAGAATGCATCCAAAGGGATCTATGCAATGGCCTGTAAGTACCGTGTTCTGCCACAATGGGGTTGGGCACAGAAAGGCAGGTTGCTTACTTAATCCAGGCTCTCTCCCACAGCCCGCGATGTCTTCCTCCTGAAGAATCAGCCCCGCTACCGGAACCTGGGCCTGGAAGTCTATGTGACATTTTTCGAGATTTATAATGGGAAGGTAGCTGGCAGGAAGTCCCTGTTTATACTGTTGGGGCCTCTGAACTTTCTAAAACCTTGAGATTGGCTAGAAATTGTAGAAGCCAAATAGCCTATGGGCTGTGAAGCCTTTGGGCTACTCTGCCCTGACATGTGGGTAGGTGGGTGGGTGTGTAGGTGGGGTTTCATCTAATGGTAGGTTGGTACCGAAACTCAACAAGTATGGCAGGTAGACTCCTCAGGGCTCCCTCTCAGATGGGAAAATTTGCATTGTGTGTGCCCAGTGCTCCCTCAGCCCTCCTCCTTTGTAACTCTCGTCTTCTGAGCATGCACATTCATTCTCATATCCATTCTCCCTCATGTGTGTATACATATATACACACACTCTACTCTGTTTTTGCCAACTTGCCTTCCTCAGAGTGGGATCTAGATAATAATAGCTAATGTCGATTATTAACGTGACGTAATGTGCTACGTACTATTCTAAGCACTCGTTTCATTTATCATAACACTATAAGGAAACTTTACCATCACTATTCTGCAGCTGGGAAATAAGCCTAGAGTAGTTAAGTACTTACCCAGGCTCACACAGCTAATAAAGTAGCAGAGTTGCATCAAACTGAGGCAGACCAGTTCAGAACTCAAGTTTACTGCCCTCTGCTAGTCTACCCAGCTTATCTTTTCTCTGCATTTCCTGCTGCCAGCACTTGTTTAAGCTGAGACAGGCTCTGAAGGAGGAATCAGGTGGGGTGCCTGGCACCTGATGGCCTTAGTTTTGTTTCCCTGCCTGGCACAGCTGTTCGACCTGCTCAACAAGAAGGCCAAACTGCGCGTGCTGGAGGATGGCAAGCAGCAGGTGCAGGTGGTGGGGCTGCAAGAGCACCTGGTTACCTGTGCTGACGATGTCATCAAGATGATCGACATAGGCAGTGCCTGCAGGTAGGAATTCTGGTGAGGGGAAGGGGCCACCTTCTAATGCCCAGTTCAAGTGACAGAGACTAGCTCTGAGCCCATGTGTTTCCACAGAGCCCTGCTTTCCCCAGCTTGGGAGGGCTGTAAAGGCCTCTACCGTAAGGGATCTGTCTCAGTGGGCCAGATGACCCAGGGCCACAGGTTCATCAGGAACAAGTCAAAGGGTCTTAAATCTAAGCAAGGCAGGCTTTATTCCCAGACCCCTACCCCAAAGGCATGCTTCTGACTTCTCTGGTTTCTCTTCGGTGTTCTTCCCTCTATGGTGGGAGATAGGAGGCCTGGGTCTGTTCTAGGCTGGACGTGATGGGGCCATAGCTCCTCTGTAGCGGCGAGAAGCACTCTTCCTCCAGGGCCCTAGGCGTGGTACAGTGGACTGCTGGTCAGCTTATGGAGGCCCGGGGAGCCTCAAGTTTTGCCACATGGTTCATGATAACCCCTCCATCCCCATGTCTCCCAGAACAGAGGCAACTCATCTTTCCCCATTTCCCCAGGCAGGTCTGTCCAATCCCCTTGCACAGAATCCAGTCCTTTGGGTGCTAGGAAAACACTAGGTACAGAGCTAGAGGGAGAGCCACTGTCCTGAGAGGGCAGAAATCTGGGACAAAAAGACACAGGACGACTTAGAGCCCTGACCTGTGTCCCTCTCTTACCAGGGAATTCACTGCTGTGGACTGGGGTGCCATGGTGGCTGGTGACTTTAGAAGTTCATAATCTTCCTTTGCCTTCCTTTGCCACAGGACCTCTGGGCAGACATTTGCCAACTCCAACTCTTCCCGCTCCCACGCCTGCTTCCAGATTCTTCTTCGAGCCAAAGGGAGGGTGCATGGCAAGTTCTCTTTGGTGGATCTGGCAGGGAATGAGCGAGGCGCGGACACTTCTAGTGCTGACAGGCAGACCCGCATGGAAGGCGCAGAAATCAACAAAAGTCTCCTGGCTCTGAAGGTAGCAGGGGCTAGCTAGAGGGGGTTGGCCTGGAGGACTGCTGCTGGTGGAGGGAAGAAGTAGGCAGCATGAGAGGAAGGACAGGACCTCAGTTGTACCTGTTGCCCTGCAGGAGTGCATCAGGGCCTTAGGACAGAACAAGGCTCACACCCCCTTCCGCGAGAGCAAGCTGACACAGGTGCTACGGGACTCCTTTATCGGGGAGAACTCAAGGACCTGCATGGTGAGTGGGGGCACTTTGGAAGGTGGTGCAGGAGGACATTTAGTCCTGTCCTGGGCAGGAGGTCTGGTGCCCTTGGCTGTCTGGGTTTCCAGGTTCTAGCTTGACTGGGCTTCAGCCCCTGCCTTTTAGCACCGGGCTCCTCTTTGCCTACCTAAGAGAGGAGAAAAGGATGTTCTCCCTTTGCCGTATGTCTATGCAACTCCCTCTACCATATGGGTTTGGAGGAGGTAATTTCTCCCTTAACTGGTGGAAAGGAGGCTCCTGAATTCAGAATGAGGACCTTTAGGGAAGCAGGGAAGAGAAGTCCTGGCCTCTGTGGCTTCCCTCAGATTCCTTGGCTCCCAGCCTAGGAAGTAGGAAAGGGCTATGGTCTTGAGTGGCTTTGGGTCCCTTCCTTGTTTTATCCACAGGCCCTTCTAGCTAGGGTCTGCTGTCCGTGACCTCCAGGGAATATCTTCTCTCCTGCCTGATGAGGAAGATGGGAATTTCTGATTAAGCTCTAAACCCTTCTCCCTGAGGCATTATCCCTGAGCCTGGGCAAACTGAGGGTTCCAGCAGGAGCCACAGAGCCTTAAGGTGTGACCTTGGTGTGAGGAATGAGTCAGTAAACAGATAAAGAAGCAAGGGGTAATCAGATGTACCTTTTAAAGGCAGAGAACCAATTTTTAAGGTGCCTTAATTTGTAGTGCTCATGGAGCAAGTTGCCTGGCAACTTGAGTGGGTGCTTAACGAGCTCTCCCCCGCAATACCATATGGGTGTCAGTGGCTTGAAGAGACTCCTGGCACCCTCTCCCCTTGATTCTCAACCTTTAACCACCCTTTTACTTCTTCTCTTGCAGATTGCCATGATCTCACCGGGCATAAGCTCCTGTGAATATACTTTAAACACACTAAGATATGCAGACAGGTATCAGTACCTACAGCCAGGTGGGATGAGAAGAAGGCTGTGGGAGAGGGGAAAGGAATGGCAGTGGTGAAAGAGGGAGGAGATCTCTGGGGCCTCAGTGCCTACTGTGTACTTTTCCGTGACTCAATGAACCTGAGGTTTGAGAGTTCAGACATGACGCTAGAAAGTCTGTCCCAGTCCCCTTCAGGCCTCGGTGGGGATTCAGTGTGCATGAGCATCTCCTAGGCCAAAGGCAAAGCTGCTACTCCATCCCCTTGCAGCCATAAGCCTCGCAGTCCAAGTGGTGCAGCACTCTTGTGAGTGCCAAGGAGGTTGCTATGGGATCTGAGACCTTCTTGTTTTCTCAGGGTCAAGTAGCTGAGCCCCCACAGTGGGCCCAGTGGGGAGCAGCCAACTCAAATGGAAACAGAAGAGATGGAAGCCAGCTCTAATGGGGCCTTGATCGCAAGCGATGTAAGGGACAGGGTGGGGTCAGGCAAGACAGAAAGGTGGCCTGCTGAGATGGGAACTGGGCCATACTGTCGTCTCTCCTTTTGGCCCCCTTAGTTCTCCAAGGAAGAGGAAGAATTGTCTTCCGTGACCTCCAGGGAATATCTTCTCTCCTGCCTGATGAGGAAGATGGGAATTTCTGATTAAGCTCTAAACCCTTCTCCCTGAGGCATTATCCCTGAGCCTGGGCAAACTGAGGGTTCCAGCAGGAGCCACAGAGCCTTAAGGTGTGACCTTGGTGTGAGGAATGAGTCAGTAAACAGATAAAGAAGCAAGGGGTAATCAGATGTACCTTTTAAAGGCAGAGAACCAATTTTTAAGGTGCCTTAATTTGTAGTGCTCATGGAGCAAGTTGCCTGGCAACTTGAGTGGGTGCTTAACGAGCTCTCCCCCGCAATACCATATGGGTGTCAGTGGCTTGAAGAGACTCCTGGCACCCTCTCCCCTTGATTCTCAACCTTTAACCACCCTTTTACTTCTTCTCTTGCAGATTGCCATGATCTCACCGGGCATAAGCTCCTGTGAATATACTTTAAACACACTAAGATATGCAGACAGGTATCAGTACCTACAGCCAGGTGGGATGAGAAGAAGGCTGTGGGAGAGGGGAAAGGAATGGCAGTGGTGAAAGAGGGAGGAGATCTCTGGGGCCTCAGTGCCTACTGTGTACTTTTCCGTGACTCAATGAACCTGAGGTTTGAGAGTTCAGACATGACGCTAGAAAGTCTGTCCCAGTCCCCTTCAGGCCTCGGTGGGGATTCAGTGTGCATGAGCATCTCCTAGGCCAAAGGCAAAGCTGCTACTCCATCCCCTTGCAGCCATAAGCCTCGCAGTCCAAGTGGTGCAGCACTCTTGTGAGTGCCAAGGAGGTTGCTATGGGATCTGAGACCTTCTTGTTTTCTCAGGGTCAAGGAGCTGAGCCCCCACAGTGGGCCCAGTGGGGAGCAGCCAACTCAAATGGAAACAGAAGAGATGGAAGCCAGCTCTAATGGGGCCTTGATCGCAAGCGATGTAAGGGACAGGGTGGGGTCAGGCAAGACAGAAAGGTGGCCTGCTGAGATGGGAACTGGGCCATACTGTCGTCTCTCCTTTTGGCCCCCTTAGTTCTCCAAGGAAGAGGAAGAATTGTCTTCCCAGATGTCCAGCTTTAATGAAGCCATGACTCAGATCAGGGAGCTGGAAGAGAGGGCCATGGAAGAGCTCAAGGAGATTATACAGGTGGGGAGCTGGCCCTGGATGGGGAGGGACTGTGTACCCACCCTAGCACAGGCCTTCCGCTGCGATCAGCATCATTCCTTGAACGTGACTCCCATAAGTCTTCAGGTTGGCACGGCAAGAGGCAGCCCTCTATACTAGCATTCTTTAATTCTCTACTTAGTCATCCAGCTGTTCTAGGGCAGCTAATTACCACACCCCCTTCTTCAGCCTGGCACACAGGCCTTCCTCCAGGTCCTCCTAGCTGGAGTTAGTCTCTCCTACATGCTCCTGATTGAGGGTTTTGGAGGGTGGTTTATATGCAAGGACCTTATCTTATATTCATTGAATGTTCAGTGAGTACTTTCTTTCTATATGTCATCTCCTATGCTGAGACCAAGGACCAAAAAACTTGAAGTATGGATGGGAGGCCCTAAAATAAGACTTGATCAGTTCCGATTCTTCTATTTATAAGCCAATTTCCTTTGAAAGTCATTTAGCCTCACTGGGCCTCAGTTTCTTCATCCCTAAAATGGGTAAGACAGGATGGTTTTGTCTGAGAATTAAATGACATGCTTTTAAAACACTTAGCACTGCCTAGCATGTGGTCAGTGTTTAGTAAGTGGTAGATGCTAGCACTGCCATGATCCCTACTCTGGAAGAACAGATGTGGGGGGAACCCTGAAAGTATATCCTAACAGTGGGGCGCTCAGTGCAAAGCAGAAAGGAAGAGCTTGGGGCACTTACAAGTGAGGAGAGAATGTGAAAGATAAGTGCTTAAGCATGTCCTCCCTCCCTGGAGTGCTCAGGGGTACAGATGTTTGAAAGGACATGGTACTTTCAGGAAAAATGAGAAGTTCACTCTGCTCAGAGCAAAAGATGTGAGCAGATCATGGAGGGAGATTAAGGCTGTGGATAGGTCAGTGGGGACCTGGTGTTAAAGGGTCTTATGGTTCATCCTAGAGACCTGGACTTCATTATGAGGGCAGTGGATGCCTTTGAAAGGAGTTAAGCAGAGTGGTGGCATAGTCATTTCAAAGCTTTGGGTACATCACTGTGGCCACAGTGTGAAGCTTGATTTGGAGATGTCGAGAAATGTGAGTAGAGACAGTTAAGAGCAGTTAGGAGATTGTTGGAAAATGTTCAAGAGAGATGTTGGTACCTAGACTGAAAGTGGCAATAGCCATGGGATTTGAGTGAGGGCATGAAATTCAAGAACCAGTGATTTGGGTTTGGGGACAAGCAAGGTAAAAGAATAAAGTTTCTCAGATTTCTGGCTTGAAATCAAGACATGACATTCATTTGATATAAGAGACAAGTCTGGAGTAGGGAAGAGGATGAATTCAAGCTAGGGACTTCTGCAGGAGAGGATAAGGGAGCAGGAGAAATGCCTGGCCATGCACAGGCATCTGCGTTATAGATGGTAGGGCCCCGGGAATGATTTGCTAAATTGGTTTGGTCATTGTTAAACCGACAATGTCCTCCCTCTGTTGTTGCAGCAAGGGCCAGGCTGGCTTGAGCTCTCCGAGATGACCGAACAGCCAGACTATGACCTGGAGACCTTTGTGAACAAGGCAGAGTCTGCCCTGTCCCAGCAAGCCAAGCACTTCTCAGCCCTGCGAGGTGGGTGCAGCTGGACAGGGTGTGGCTGGAGGATGGGGCCTCTGAGACTCCCACTAACACGAGTGTGCCACCTCCCCTTCCAGATGTCATCAAGGCCTTGCGCCTGGCCATGCAGCTAGAAGAGCAGGCCAGCAAACAAATAAGCAGCAAGAAACGGCCCCTGTGACGACTGCAAATAAAGATGTTTGGTTTCACACCCAGCCTTTTCACCACCCCACCCCTCTCCAGTGAACTTTTGGGCACCTGGTGGGTCTAGTCAGGGTCTGAGCTGGGACAGAGTTTGGTAAAGGCCAAGTACGGGCACATCAGGGCCAGGGCAGCTGGGGAGGGGATCAGAGTGACACAGGACACTACTTTCCTTTTCCTCAATTGTAGCCCTGAGGAGAGCAAGGATGGGAGGAGGGAGCTTTTAGTTCTCCTGTGTGTTGCCCTTCTCTCCAAGTGGGGAAGGCTCACTGGTGTAGAGTTTGCCCTTGGTCGGCATTCTGCCTGTGTGGACTGGCTGCTGGGGAAAGGTTGCTGGGGTAGTCCTGGCCCTGGGGAGAAGGAAGGAGCCTTCAGTCTAGCTCTCTGCTGGTTCTGGCCTGCCTTCCACACCCTTGGTCTGGGCACTAATATGTCTTGTACTTTAAAAAACGTTTCTGGAACCTCTTCCTTGCTATTTTTTGAGGCCCAAGAGGATCCTTGCTGTTTTCTGTTTTATGTGTTTATACATTGTGTCTAACAATAAAGAAAGAGGAAAAAAAATCAGCCTGTTCAGTGGCCTGTGGGAAGGGCCTGGGATGTGTGAGCCTTCTGGAACTAAAGATACCGCTGCAACTCTGGATAGCACTGATTCTGTACAGGAAAGGATCCCATGGGCAATACCAGTTTGATCTTGAAAAATGAGTAGAAGTTTGTCAGGCAAACTGAAGAACCAAGCATAGGGCATGGGCAGTTTGAGAAGTGAGAGATTCCAGATTCAGTGTCATGGAATGTGAATTATCTAAATGGTGATGAGCCACTAAAAGGTTTCTGGCCTAGGAGCCACCCAATCACATGTGTTTTAGAAAGGCCTCACTTAGGGAGACAAGTTGGGAGCATCAGGTATGTGGGCTCCTGCAGAAACCCAGAGAAGGGTGGGGTCGAACAGAGCAGGTTCTGTCCCTCTCAGCCTTGGTCATTTCCTTTGTAAAACGCATTCTCAACCTCACGGTGAGAGAATACATAAATCTGACTGACCATTAAATAACCAAATATAGGACCTGGATTCAGAAATTCAGCTATATCAGATGTTTGATAAAAATGGCACCAGCTCTGAGGCCTTAAAAGCTTCCAGAGACTTGAATTTTCCCCTCATCCGTAAGATGAGGCCACCAGTACCCACCTCACAGAACTGAAAAGATTAAATGAAAGAATGCCACCATCCCGGACCTGAGAATCTTCTCACCTAGAATACTGTATGAGTAACTGGTCTCCTGCTTGAATTCTTGACTCCCATTGACCCATTCTCCCCAACCAGCCAGAGGAATCACTACGTTATTCACTACTTGGAACCCTTCAATAACGTCCCTTTGCACAAGGGATAAATACTGAACGCCCTACAATGGCCCATTAGGCCCTGCCCAGTCAACTCCTCTCTACTGGTCCAGTAGGAATGCAATTTGGGCAAAACAGTTTAGAGGCTAAAAACCCAGCTGCAGAAGCCACACTGCAAGGTGAGATCCTAACTCTGACTGCAGAACCTAAAGTGAGTTGTTTAACCTCTGTGCTATCTGTGAAATGGGGATAATACTGGTATAGAGTCATTATGAAAATTGGGTTAATATACACACAGCAGTGAGTAAAATGTCTCATATTTAGTAAGTGCTATGTAAGTGCTAGCTATTTAAGCATGTAAGGACAAAAGATTTTTGTTGTATTTAATACTGTATTCACAATATCTCAAATATATGATTAGTACACAATATATATTTTTGAATGAATGAATAAACTGTATCCCACCACTCTGTTCTCCAACCACACTAGCCTTTATTTCTTATGTCAGGGCTTTTGTTTGTTTTTGTTTTTAACAATAGCTTTATTGAGATATAATTCACATTATAAAATTCACTCTTTTAAAGTGTATAATTTAGTGGCTTTTAGTATCCTCAATACTGGGCAACCATCACCATTAATTCCAGAACATTTTTATCACCCAAAAAGAAACCTGTACCCATTAGCAGTCACCCCCAAACCTCTTTCCCCCCAGCCCTAACCACTAATCTACTTGTCTTTCTCTGTGGATTTATCTATTCTAGATATTTCGTATTAATGGAATCATGCAGTATGTGGTCTTTTGCGTCTGGCTTCTTTCACTTAAAGCATATGTTTTAAAGGATCATGTTGTAGCATGTATCAGTACTTCATTCCTTTTATGGCCAAATAATATTCCACTGCATGGATATACCACCTTTTGTTTATGCAACAGTTGAACATTTATTTGGGTTGTTTCCACTTTGGGGCATTACGAATGAACCATTCAAGGTATGAACATTCATGCGCAAGTTTTTGAGCATGTTTTTTATTTTCTTGAGTATATCCAAGTCTTTTACCTATTTTTAAGTTGGATTATCTTGTTGGCTTTTAAGAGCTTTTGTTGACTTTTAAGTTGGATTATCTTTTGTTGATTTTTAAGAACTGGATACTGTATATGTATGTATCAAATATATGATTTGCAAATATTTTCCCTTGATCTGTGGGTTGTCTTTCACTTTCTCGACAGTGTCCTTTGAAGCAGAAAAGCTTTTAATTTTGACGAAGTCCAACTTACCTTTTTTCTATTGTTGCTTGTGCTTTTAGTGTCATATCTAAGAATCATTGCCAAATCCAAAACTGAAGACTTATGGTTTCTTCTAAGAGTTTTATGGTCTTATATTTACATCATTGATCCATTTTTAGTTAATTTTTGTAGGTGATATGAGGTAGGGGTCTGAATTCATTCTTTTGCATGTAGATATCCAGTTTTTCCAGCACCATTTGTTGAAAGGACGATTTTTTCCCCATTGAATTGTCTCGGCACCCTTGCCAAAGATCAATTGACCATAGATGTATGGGGCTGATGTCTGGACTTTAAATGCTATTTCATTAGTCTATATGTCTATCTTTAGGCCAATACTACACTGTTTGGTTACTGTAATTTGTAATAAGTTTGAAATCAGGAAGTTTGAGTCCTCCAACTTTGTTCAATACTGTTGTGGCTTTTGGGGGCTCCTTGCAATTCCATATGAATCTGAGGATCAGCTTTCCCATTTATGCAAAAAAGGCTGATGGGATTACATTGAATCTGTAGATTGCTTTGGGTAGTATTTCCATCTTAACAATATTAAGTCTTCCAATGCATGAACACAAAATGTCTTTCCATTTATTCAGTTCTTTAATGTCTTTCAACAATATAGTTTTCAATGTACAAGTCTTTCACCTCCTTAGTTAATTTCCTAGCTATTTCATTCTTTTGTATGCTATTGCAAAAGGAATTATTTTGCTTAGTTTCATTTTCACATTGTTCATTGCTGGTGTATAGAAACACAGCTGATTTTTTGTGTGTGTTGATCTTATACCTTGCAACTTTGATGAATTTGTTTATTAACTCTAACAGTTTTTTGGGGGGCGTTTTTTTGTAGATTCTTTGGGATTTTCTATATAAAGGATCATGTCATCTGTAAATAGATAGTTTGACCTCTTCCTTTCCAATCCTTTTGTTTCTTGCCTAGTTGTCCTGGATAGAATATCCAATTTTGAATAGAAGTGGTGAGACTGGACATCCTTGTCTTGTTTCTGATCATTAAAAATGATATTACCTGTGAGGTTTTGTAGATGGCGTTTATCTGGTAGAAGAAGTTCACTACTGTCTCTTTGTTGAGTGGTTTTTATCATGAAAATGTATTAGATGTGTTTTCCCCTTTATTCCATCAATAAGGTATAGTCCATTGATTGATTTTCAGATGTTAAACCAACCTTGCAAACCTAAGATATATCCCACTTTCTTATGATATCTAGGCTTTAATTCCTGCTTGTGCAGAACTTCAAGGTCAGCCGTATCTCACTGATATTAGCACATTTTCAGGTCTTTCCTGACTGGGCATATACTCAGCCCTGCATATGCATGTGCCTTTCTAGATTCCCAGAAATGTGTGAGTTTTTTTCAAATCCCCCAATTGACTGTTTTTTTCTTTTAAGTGTTTTTGTTTTGTTTTGTTTTGTTCTGTTTTATCAGCCTATCAGCCCCAACTAGTAATTCTGCCACAGGAATCTGCATTGCCCCTGACTTTTTTTTTTTAATTAAATTAATTTTGGGTGACATTGGTTAATAAGATTATATAGGTTTCCAGTGTACAATTCAATAATGTGTCATCTGTATACTGCTCTCTGTTCACCATCCAGAGTTGAATTGTTTCTACCATTATCACAATTACTCATTTTATATCATTTAAATATATTAATATAAATGATACATCTTACAATACACTATAAAATTGAAGGCTTCTTCGCAGTACTTTTTGTCATTGGAGTATATGCCACTAAAGATGTACTATCAAAGTAGTACCCTGTTCTAAACCATTTGAAATATTTTTTTCTCTATTTTATTACTTTAAATTCATTTGTTTTCATTTCTTTCAGTTTCATTTGTTGTTTTTCCTTAATTTTATTTTGTTGAAAATCTAGAGCACTTAAACTTCAAAATTAAAACTATAAAAAGTATATTGAGTTGTAAGGCATCCATTCATGTTATGACTTCTTCCCCCCTGTAACCCTAACTTTTTAAAAACAAACACCTTGGTGATAGGGCTGGTCACAGAATGAGCTCTGAATGAAGTCAAATTAAGACAAGCCCTAAGAATGGAGCTTTTCAGCAATCTGCCAGCCAGCTCAAATGGTGACAATTCTTTGGGGATGGGCTTTTGGAGAATTTCAGATCCATTCTGCCTCCTCCAATTGCTGTTTTCAAAGCCACTGTGGAGCGGGAGGAAGGGAGTGGCATTAGGGCAAATTAAAAAGCAACAAAGCTCACTGCTCCATGATTCAGCTATTTTTCTTATGGAAGTTCCTTCGCTTGTTGCAAGCCTTTGGTTAATTTCAAAGTTCTGGAAAAGTTGATTTGGACAATTTTGGCCAGTGTTCTCACTGCTTTTATGGAGGAGCGATTTTCTGAAGGTCCTTATTCCATTCCAGAAGTGCTTAAGGCTTTTTACCCCTGATGTTCCTTCTCACGTCTTTTTACACTTGATGTTCCTTCTGCCTGTTTTTTTTTTTTTTCCTTCAGGTCTCAGTTTACCCCAGGTCTCTGTCACCGGAGACCAATCTCAGAGCATCCTATCTCAAGTTTCTCCCTATGCCCCATGATAGCACATTACTTCCTTCACAGCACCTATTACAATCTAATTGTCTTGTCCAGTAGAGTTTATGCTTCAAGTGTCTTTTTTTGTAAAGATTCTCCTGGGCCTAATCCCAACTGTTGTTCTCAATTTCTAGTGGCACCAGTCTGCCACACTATGTGACTTTATCCAGCAGCATTCTGTAACCCAGGTGTCAGGCACAAGAGGTTGGATTGATCCCAGGTTTAAGGACTTATAGGATGAGGAACTGGTGAAAATTAAGGTTGAGGGAGGTAAAGATGCTCATAATAGGCGATCAAAATACGATAAGGATAATATTAGAGACAGGTCAGGATTTAAAATCTTATAGGCACAAGTTGGTGAGAACCAGAATTCACAGATAACTGCAGTAAAGAGGAGTAGTGAGTGTTATGGTTTTATAGTGTGAGATTAAAAGTGTGTGGGTTTTAGGGAGATTAGGGTAAGAATGGCCTGAAATTGGTAATGAAGACCATGGAGCACACCTGTTTCCCACCTGGAGTGCAAGAGTGTAGTCATCTTCCACTTGAGAAGGTTGACGAGGAAAAGTCCTCTGAGAGAACAAGGTTTCTGTTAAAAGGAAAAGGAAACATTCAGAGAAGAGATTGGTGATATGGAAGATTTTCCTGATGAATGACACAGGACAGAAGATTTTAGGAAATGGATAGTGGGAAATCGGTAAAAAAAAAAAAATATCACTTGTGTCAGGATTAGAATGTGGGTGATAGGTATAATTCAAGAGATGATTTCTTTTTAAGGTGACTCTTGAAAATAGGGACAAAGGCATAATGTGATTAATGTTAATTGTCTCAAAGCAAATGAAGCGGTGGCCACGCTAGGGTATTGGAGGGGAGCGGGAGAGAGGATCTCTCCAGGATGATATGGAATTACAGTCCCGTGACTTTTGCTAAAACAAGACTAGAGACGTGGAGGGCATGGTGCGGGACATAAAGAACTGTCTTAGTCTGATTTCAAGAGCTCCAGGGATCTCTCTTGAATATTGCCCAATAGGGATTCAGATGTTTTTATAATTAGTCTACTACTCAAGTACATGCAACACACCAAAAAATGCTCATGTGATACAGACTGGCTGATGGAGTGGACACTTTCTATAGGTAGATAGAAGAATGAGACCATGGTGAGTGGGGGTGGGAAATACCAGTCCCATTCTCTTCCAAGCTTCAGTCTCATCTTTCCAATCACTTGCAGTATAAAGAATAGCCACCTGTATGTCCTACAGGCAATTCAAATTCATCCTAAATTGGACTTTTTAGAAACCTGCCTCTCCTGTGTTTATTAATTGGTATCACCCCACCATTCATGTAGTTTCCCAAGGAAGAAACCTCATGTCACTCTTCTCTCATCCCCATAATCCAGTCTATTACAAAAGTCCATTACCTAACAAGTGCCCCTTGAATCCACCTTCTCCTTTTTATGCCCAAAGCAATTCCCTTTTCCCTTCTTGTGCCAAGGGGCTGGGGATGGAGAAATGAATGAGATACCTGCAATAGACTTTTAAGATCTTACAGTCTAAGGGGAAAACTAGTTGAATACAATGTGGTAAGTAGAACAGTTTACTCAAATATTCGAGCAGGCCGTTCAAATATTTAGAGTGCTTACTAAATGCGAGGCATTATTCTAGGTGTTGAAAAATAATAGTGAACAACACAGTTTCTACTGTCATGTTTATTATATTTTAGTGAAGAAAACATAATGAGCATGTAAAAGCAATGCTAGTTAGTACTGAATGAGTTGAGAAGATGAGTACTGGTATTTTAGAAAGCAAGCTGAGAAAAAGCCTCCCAAGTGTGTGTATGGGGAGGGGTGAGATTTTGAGCAGACTTCAAGTGGGGGAGGAAGCCATGTTAAGACCTAGGGAAGAGTATTTTCTTTCAGAGCATGAAGGCCTGAGGCAGGAACAGCAAGGTCAGAGTGCCTGAAGTTGAGTTAGGGGGACAGAAAGTAGATAAGCTGTTAAATTGATGTGAAAGAGTTAAGCAGAGGTCCAATATTCCTGAACCTCCAGGCCATGGTAAGAAATTTAGATTTTATTCTGAATGTGCTGGGAAGCCAGTGAACGATTGAAGATACAGAAGAGATGTTGAGAGAATCCCTTTCAAGGAATGGGATAGGATCTGGAGCCAAGTGTAAAAGGGCCTATCCATCAGGCAGTTTATTCTTTAAAAAACTGCCCTCTGCTCTGCGTTCCTCCCCAGCCACCAGCCTAAATCTCTTTAAAATTATACTTCTCAAAAGAATTACCTACATACACTGTATCTTTTTTTAACTTCCCCATCTGTTTCAAGTTTTTGAGAAAACTAATCAAGTTTTTGTCCACTCCACTGCACAGAAACTGCTCTTGCCAATGCCACTCAATAACCCAATAATCACTTTTTAGTCTTCCTTTTAACAAGACATCACACAGCTTGAGACTGTGACATCACCCTCACGTGTGCTGGCTTTCCTCCTGTCGCTCTAATTGTTCCTTTTGGCCTCTTTACCAGCTTCTTTTCTCGACCTGGCCTTAAATGTTGTCATTCCTCAAGCCTTGGATCTGGACCCTCTCCTTGTATTTATGCCAAAGGTTGGCACACTACTGTGCACTGACAGGACCCATGAGTTAAGAAAGTCTTTTGTTTGCAACTGTTTTAAAAAAATTCAAAAGCGTATTTAACGACAAGTGAATCCCAGTGTCCATAAAGTTTTATTGGAACATGGCCACCTCCATTTGTTTATTATTATCTATGGTAGCTCTCACACTACAATACTCAAGCTGAGTAGTTGTGACACAGACCCTAGAGCTCACAAAGCCTAAGGTATTTATTTATCCTTTACAGGAAGAGTTTGCCTTACGTTCCCTCCCTAGGTTCCATTCATTCTAGAGGCTTTAATTACCATTAATATACCAACGATTCCCAAAGTAACATCTTCTGTCCAGATCTCTTCTATGAGGACGATCAAATGTGAACATTCAGCTTCCTGTTGTGTTGTGTGGGGGAGGACTTTCCTCTTTTACTCGTCTTTAGTTCTTATGGCTGGACTAGTAATAAAATCATAAAATGGACATGACTAGATTAACAGAAGAAAAAACAATTTAATGTGTGCACATGTGAAATCATAACATGATGTTCGAATAAAATGGGGCTCCAAAAAAATTATGAAACCAGGAATTTTTATATTTTTTATACAAAGAAACAATAAACTTGTGAGAAAGTGACAAGACAAAGAAAGTTAGTGCTGTTTAAAAGGGTATCTAAGCAAGATTTGGGCTCAAGCAGTAAATTCATAAAGGCCAAGATTTGTTTATACGGACTGTTTGGCTCTGAGCTGTTTAACTCAAGCGATAAGGGGTGTCTTCCACGAGCAGGGGGACACCTTTCACATGGGACATTTATTTCCTGCATTCAAGGAGATAAGAGCAAGTCAAAGTGCCTTTCAGGCACCAGCTGCTTGTCAAGCAACTTTAATTCAAAGTAGTCAATATACCATTGTAGGATATTTTGGGGGCGGCCTGTCTTGGGCCCTGACAGTCATTCTCACTTACATGAATCACCAAGACCTCAAATTGAACATGTCCAGAACAGCTCCTAACTTAGCCTACCCCACCTCAGTTAACTGCACCAACAGTCATCCAATCGATCACGTGAGTTATTGGGAATCCTTGACACACCTCCCTCTCCCTAAAACCCCACCTCCAATCTATCGCCAAACCCTTGAAAACAAAACCCAAATCCATCACTCCTTTCCATTTCTACTGCCTTCCACCCTTTCCTCTGCACCCACATCTCTTATCCTGGACCACTGCAAACGCTTCTAAAAATTCTTGTTAAAAGGTGAACAAAGCCAGGCTACTCTCCTTCAGTTGTGCCCTGAAGTCCTCAACCTCCACCAAAGCAGTGTACAGCTGTTGAGGCGGCGAGACTCCCCCCTCCAAACCTTGCCCTAGGGTTTCAGGACACAGAATCCTCTCCCAAGCCCGGAGGCACTCAGCAATTTCTCTGTAACGAAATTAACTTCAGGCCTCTTTCTACGGCGCAGTCGCAAAAACGTAGGAACTATACAGCCTCTTTCTACGGCACAGTCGCAAAAACGCTGTAACTCCAGCCACTTTCTACGTTAAAGGGCGGGACTGCGTTTTACAAACCGGACCGTGACTCTTTGCGTTTTCTCTTTCCAGCCGGCGCCGAGCTATGGGTGAGTGTCGATCTGCGTTGGGGGCAGGGTAGAGGAGCGAACTGAATCCGGCGCCATCCTGCCTCACAGCCAATTTAAGAGAATGGGCGCCCCGACCCCCAGCAACGAGCAACTATAAGGAGGGTGATGCTCGGGTTTGGGCCGCCGGGCCCGTGGAAAGGGCCGGCGCCAGGGCTTCAAAGCGGCATCAACATGGCTGCCGCGGGAAAGGGTGCAGGTTGGGCCGCATGTGTATGATGACACCTTAGTACTGCTGTAAACCCCGAGTGCTCAGTGGGGAAGCCAACCTTGGAGAGCTGAACGTGCGGCCCGCCGGGCGAGAGAATCTGGATCTAGCGAGGGCCGGCCTCGCGTCCCAGTGAGTCACGTTTCCGTCCCCCGCTCCCATTTACAGGCATCTCTCGGGACAACTGGCACAAGCGCCGCAAGACCGGGGGCAAGAGAAAGCCCTATCACAAGAAGCGAAAATATGAGCTGGGACGCCCCGCTGCCAACACTAAGGTGCGTGCGCGGGCTCACCACCCGGGAGATCGCATCCCCCTCATGTTCTTGGTCCAATCTCCACGTGTGGCTGTTGAATCTTGGTAGAGCTCCGAAACCTGTTTTAGGGGCTGCGCAGCCTCCCG